GTCATGTATTTTTCTTCTTGTTTTGCAACAGGTGGAACATAGCAAAATCTAAAATTGGGAAATCAATGGCTGTTTCTTTATCCCGCCAGGTCACCACAACTCATCACTAAACCCTGACCTTCAATGGCCAGGTTTGTGAAACAGGCATGCAATGTGCTATGTAGTGCAAAATAATAATAGACAAGGAAGAGGTGGTCAGGGAATTCTTTCCAGGCATGGTTTATTGGAAACACACCAAATTCATATACTACAAACCTCTTCGTTTTCCTTATTTTAACAAGCTGGATACTTGCCACAGGCTATTAGTGAAATTAACATAATACATTCTGTTACTGTGGCATTTCTGATCCTACGAAAGCATAACCAACTTATTCCTCTATGAAATCAAAGCATTTTAACATTTTATCAGGTTTTTTTTTTTCAGGTTTATAATACAATGTAATACAAGGCAAAAACCCACCACCAGTCTAGACTACACTGATAACACCGAGAGAGAGAGAGAAAAGAGTAATAGTATATAAAACACATTGTTAAGTTTCGGTTTTCTTTCAATAATCTACCATGAAAATTTTAAGGCACATGATAGTTACAAACACATTTGCTACTAAGTAGTACAGTAACGTTATTGAAAGGGTTTTGATCAGTGATATCTATACAGGTAGGCCTTGCTTAGTCTTCTTCCTGCTGTAGCTTATCTCACAGCAAGATTTGTATCAGTACAGGTTAAAATATATTTAGCAATAACCCCCTGGCCTTTTACATAGGTATATAAAATGAATACAGGCCCTTTGGTAGTGTATAGTAGCAGCCAGGGATAGACAGAGATGGAAATTTCATGAAAGCACACAGTATAAATACTTTAACATGGACTATTTTCTCTTTTTTTTTCTTCAAATTAACATTAGTATTGTTATCGTAGTAATATAAGCTTTTGTAAACATATTGTAAAAATACAAGCTTTAGAAAGTCACATCACATAGAAAATAATACTTCGATGCAGGTACATGCCAGCCTCCATAAAGACGCAGGAATCAGACAGTCCTGAATGTCTCTGCTCTGCTGCCGTCTTCTACAGCACTGATCCATCACGGCCCACACATGAGACTGCCCACTCGGATAAAAGGAGAATGACAACATTCCATTGCTGAAGAAAACAGATCTTTTCCCATTTGACTTGGACTTTAAAATAGCACAGATCTAGTGGAAACCATTGTCAAAGTCTCCGAATCGGAATAAAAGCCAGCATGTCTGTTACAAACGAATGTAAGGTTCGCTTTGAAATCGGCGATAACTGCCTTGCCTCTTTTCTGGTCAATTCCAAAGGCCTTAACAACTTGAGAACTGACAGTCAGAAGAACATTTGATATCTTACAATTTTTTTTTCATGCTTGCTTTAAAGACTTAAAAAGATGCATTAGCAAACCAGAGCACATTTTAATTAACACAGACGTCAAACATTCTGGAGCAACTCGGCATTATGGCAGTGAGATGAGACGATTCAATAATATTGACATCTCTAGTCTGTCTATCCCTGCTGCACACATCACGTCTTCTCAGCCATTAGAGTTTTGCTGGTTCCCCCCTCCCCACCCTGAACGATTTTGGCAATCAGGTTATCAATTCAAATGTTTTCTTCTTCTTTAAAAAGAAAACTGTCATTATTTTTACTTGTGGCAATACAAAATATAAATCCGTGATCAGCATGGTTCCATAGGCTAGTTACATACTGTTAGCTAAAGTGACTGATTATATCATACAAAAACATCCACTGTATGTGCTTCCCAAACATTCCGATATGGATACACAGATCACAATGTATAAAGACCAATTAGAGTCTGTCTGATGTCTTCTTTGTAATCTTAATGTACATCTATAAAACCAACAAAAAATATAAAATGCTTTAAAAGGTAAGTTCTGAATCTGAGAGCGGGAATTCGTTTCTCTCTCCCAAACTCACTTTTCTCGCCAGTCCCACTCCCCAGTAATGCTCACCACTCACACACAAAACGGACTTCTTTTTCCTTCTGAAGTTCTTATACAAAACCCAAAAGTGATTTCTTAAGAGATGTGCAATACCAGTGAACAACCAGGATTTTGACAATCCCCAATATGCCTTTTTTTTTTCATGCAGCAAGGTTACTGCAGATCTTCTCAGAAGTAATGGCCGAACAAGTTTCAGGAAACTTTTAATCATCTGTAATGTGTGATTCTTTTTTGTTTGCTCCATTTCATTGGGATGTGCAGAACTACACATGCCAAGTCTTCAGAAATAACGCTAAAACATCATGGTGGTCTCTCAGATTTGGACTTCCTGGTTCATTAGGTGTCAGTAGACCCTTCCTTGATTTTGCTCATGGCCAGAGCAGACCTCTTTGGGAATAAAAACCAAGCACGTTTACAAAGCTGGCACATGAAAACAGCAGAAGCATTTACCCAAAACATTTTCCACCACCCCTGCACACTTTCTAGTCCCCAAACTCAAACCACAAATAAATAAATCTTCCCCCTCGTTAATCCGTCAAAAACCAACACTCTGCTCCCCACCTCAGTCCTGAAAACGGTAATAAAAAAAACAGAAAGGGAAAAAAAAAGAAAGCCTCAGGAAAAAGAAAACAGAAGTTGAACTCAAATTTAAAAATAGAAGCTATGTTTTTTACAGTTGCGAAACAAAAGTGCTAACAAACTGTGTGTTCCATTTGAGACTACACCAGGCTGCGTTAAAAAATAAGTTGGTTCAACGTGTTTGCTTTTATCGGCTGCCTGAAATGTCTTCCTCTGCCCAACACCACACTTTCATTGTCTTGCTTTGCTCCAGCCTCCTCCTGGATACCTGCTGAATCCATCCACACAAGAGCTTGTTCCAGGGCCAAGGGTGCTATGTCCAGTGGGAATGTTGATATGAGTGGTAGTAGTTATCTTGTTTTAAATTTCTGTGAAAACTTGTCTGTTGGACGATAAAAGTTCGTTTTTTTAAAAGGTCTGCTGACACGTCAACAATAAAATGACCTCCAAGTCTAATGGCAGTGGTGAAACATGAGATCCTCTTCTAATTGAGATGTTTTTTTTTATTTTAAGCCTGAAACAAAAAAAAAGGATATTTGTAACAGAGGACATCTCTTGTTACGAAAGCTTAATCTGTCAGAACCACAATCTTTTCAAAGAACTGAGGCTCTTATATCACTGACAAGTCTTAAACTGATACACAGTAGTGTACCACTTTATTGAACACAAAAATTGTTGCTCTGCGACTGTTTAAAAAAAAACAGAGGCCAACATTTACTGTCATTGACAAAATTCATCTTTTCAATTCGGGACAATAGGACATGAAGACAAAACTTTCTGTAAAGGATCTTAAAACTGTTGCATGCTTTCATTAGAGTGACAAACAGCCACACATGAAAAACAGCTTTTTGAAATCTGTCAAAAAGTCCACTCACAGACACCAATCCCCACAGAATGAAAAAGCATATTGGGTGCTGATGGATTGTGTGAGAAAGGGCAATACTAAGGTCATGATAGCACACTGACATTAGCTCTCCTTTAACAAGTGAAGCCTTCTGCATTACTTACCCACTTTCCAGCATTACAAAAAAAACTAGGTTGCTTGATTACTTCTAAGATCTTGCTCAACTGCTGCCCTGGTAAAAGCATTCTATCTGATTACAGAGCTTTTGCAATGAGTCATGAAGATCTGACACTTAGATGCTGAAATCTGCAGTGACAATGGGATACAGCGTGACATGCAGGAGTGAAGGAAAAGCACAGAAATGGCTGACAAACGTTCAGTGCTGAACAATTTGGATGCACTTTGGCGATTGGCAGGCTTTCATCCTGGCCCAGCCTGTTGCTGGGCACAGCTGAAAGACCCAGAGCTTGTTTAAGGCAGCTCTGTTCCTCTTCTGCCCCTTGCGAATCAGGAGCTGGGAAGTGAACACTGTTTAACCCGAGCAGTTAGCTACAGCCACAGAAAATGTCCTGCTCTCCAAAAGCAATGCTGGCATGCATCACCAGGCATTGCTTATTGACTGTGAGCTTAATTTGTTCATACTAAGCAGTGGTTCTCTTATTTTTGGTTTTTGCCTGCAGGGCTGGCACAATTGCAGATTTCCTTGCATTTTGTAAAGTGTCTGAAAATAGGACTCATCACACTTCGGGAAAATAAGCTGATGGGATCAGAATCAAAAGCCAAGTGTTTGAAAAAGTAAATTACAGTGCAGGAAATCATAGCAATGCAGGTGACTGATGGACAAAGATTCGGGGAAAAAAATAATTTGTAATAATGTAATGTAATGTAATAATTTGACATATTATTACAGAGGATTTGATCTTTAAAATTAGTATTTAATTTAAAAACCAACCCTGCATTAATGCACTTTATGCATGCAGGGTTCAAGTTGTGCTTTAATCAAAATTACATAGAGCAACTTCTGTTCTCTATTGAAAACTCCACAAAAGACCTGGAATCAAGGTTAATGGCCACAGACTAACGTGGTTGTTTTCTTGAAGCTCACAGCTCTGGGTTAGTCAGCGTGTAAAGCACACAGTAAGAGCATAAATGAACAGGAGCTAGGGAAAAAAAAATAACCTCTTCTTCTCGGAAGACTGAGGAAAACCTACCATGCATGCAATTAGACCCACGAGTCAACAGGCTGAGGTTTAACGTCACAAGCATCCACCAGATTCACTGAGGGCCTGTTACTCCTGATAAAGTTTTTCCTATTTGTGTCATTCTGCAGCAACAGGGAAAGGGTTAACAGCAAAAACGTGGGTTAAAAGAACAAGGACAAAAAAAACATTAAGAGAAGTGTAAGCCAGTGTTAGTCCACACATTTTAAAGCTGTAAAACAAAGAAAAACAGCATGCAAAAAAGGCAGTTCGAACTGAACATTTCCTTAAACACAACGCAATGTGTCTGGGATGCGGTCTCAGGTGCAAGCAGGCTTAGCATCTCACTGGCTCTTGTGCCACTGCCAGCGTGTTTCAGGGGGGCTGAAGGTACTCTACTGCCCTCTTCTGGTCAGACTGGCTGACCTGATTCCTTCTCCACCGCTGTCAGGCCAGTGGTGTACAGACATGAATATATAGTATATCTAGAGCTATGCTCAAAGGCTTTAAACTGGCATAGCACTACGGTATTTAGGCTTCTAAAATGAAGCTAATCGTGGCCTTAGGATGCAAGTTTTGCACCACTCTAGAAGCCTGAATGCAGTCTGGCTACTCCCATAAAACTGAGCAGTGAAATAATGGGGCAGCAAGTTTAGGATAAGAAGGAAGTACAGTGCAGTAGCCATTGCTTGGGCACATATTAACACAAAATGCCAGCCTGGCATGTCAGTACCTGTCCATAGTCTCTGGTGCTCTGCTATATTGGACATTGCCAGGCCACTTGTCAGTGGTGGAAAAGGGAGGAAAACTAGAGAAAATCAGGTCTGTCTTAGGACCTGTAATGCAGGATATATTGCTAGGGCTGCTGTGGACAGAGCTAAGAAAGGGTTTATTCTGATTTAGTAAAACACAAAGATTGTTAATGTTATATACCTTGCCTTAGCTATTACTCTAAATGAAGGCATCCATTTCCATGGCCTTTCATCTCAACTTAATTCAAACCCCATAATCTCAGGCACGTGTAATTTATTCATCACCGATAAAACACCTGAGATATCCTTCCCAGCTGGGACTGTACGTAATTAAGAACAGCATTTATATGCTAGGCTGTTAACAGCTGATATGCACGCAGGCCATCTTCAAAGACGAGAGGCCATTTATATTGGGAAGTTGAGAAGAAAAGGGGGGTGGGGGACTTCTAATCACTCAGTGATTAATGACTTTAAAACTGCAAAGCTTATACACAATTAACTTATGCTTTATATCTGCAGGAGGTAAATTGCTCTGCAATGCCAGGGTGTTGCAAGGGTCTGCAGACTGCAGGATTTAACTAGTTGAGGGTAGTCATTACTACATCTACTTGTTTTCATCTTCATCAGTCTAGCTCGCCAGCAGCTCAGGCCCTCAAACCCATATGGGTGTGGACAGTGTAGCCAGCTTTCTTGATCAGCAGGGCTGGCTCGAGCACATTATCGCTGGGAGACTGAAATCAACAGAAAATGGGCTTCGCGTTTTTTTGGAGAGCTTGAACAAAAGCAAGGGGAAAAGAAACCTTTCGATTTTCCGACCTCCGGGTAAATTTACTTCGTCTGTGAGTTATGTGTTTGTATCTGAAAATGCCCCAAGCTGGAACTCGGTGTGTTGAAGCATCCTCTTTGTGTGTTTGTTTAATGCTCCTGAAAATGTCGTTTTAACAACCTCAGGAATACACTGGGTCTCCCTGTGAGGCCTGTTTTGCTAGACACGAGGTCTTAAAGGGACGTCAGCCTCCAATGTAAAACCCCTAACTTAAACACACTGAGGGTTATAACATTCTTTATATTTCAAATGAAAACCAAGGGAAGAGTAATGTCATGTAACTCTAAAAAAAATGTTGAAAAAAATATTTTTCAATCCTCCAGCGAATTCTGCTGCCATTCTCCGATTGATAAAAGAGGATCCCTCAGCTGCATAATGGACGTTTTTAAGGAGATGAAAATGGCTCTCGCAGTCCGCCCTTCTGGTTACCTTTAAAGGTTCTCGTTCTGTCAAGTCACCCGAGCTGTCGCCTTTCCTGTACTTGCTTTCTTTATCCCGCTGATCGATAGTGGAATACCCATCTGGAGAGGAGGAAAAACAGCCCATAATAATAATACCAAGAGACCTGTGGCTGTACACGTGCCACTTCAAAAGAACATTTTCAATAAATGACTTATTGTGAGGGGGGGGGGGGGGGGAAGATATTATCTCAAAATAACATGATATGAATATTTAAAAATATTTAAAAAGCCTTAGCACTTCCAGAACCCCTTTCCCCAAAACCATGGGGTGTACGAATAAGGCTTAAGTATAACTGATGCTTCATAACTGCAGTTATGAAAGGATTTACAGAACAGAACCAAAATAAATGTTTCTCATCTTTCTACACATTTTTTCTCTATATAACTGAATATAGCAAAATCTTTAACTTGCCAGCTATAGTCTTATGGGATAAGGGTACCACATACTGTATTATACCACTTCCTGCTCTACAGCACCCCACTTTATTGAGACTCCCCAAGCAGATGAGGCTGTGAGGGGTCCACTGGATGAACACTAAGTCTGCCTGCCCCCCCCCTCCCAGTCAGGTGGAATTCAGGCTAGAACAAACCGTCACCATTCAGAATGTCCTTCCCACGTCTCTGGGCTCAGGCTAATGAACCACATTCCAATTAGTGTCAGCTTTTCTGACAGCTCCCGTTGACTGAGGAATGAGATGGAGGACCCAGGGGAAATGCACAGAGGCCCACCGCAAAGGCACTCTGGACAAGACTCCGTTTCAACCTCAAGAAAAAATCCACACCAAAAAAGCAGAAAGCTGCTATGGCAGACAGCAGCAGCTGTTTGTACAGATCTACATTTCCAACAGGTGTTATGTATCTTAAAGCTGGGCTTACAGATACCTCTGTGAAAGAACGAACTTATAACTAATTCCACCAGGGAATGCTATTTAAGAAGTCTGACTATTTGTATAAAATGACATTATCATTAAAAATCTAGGCTTTCAACCCACAAAACATCGTTTTTAAGAGAGATGTCTTGCTGACAGCATCAATGGGGATTCCAAAAGAATATCGCACAGCGCTGTGTAATCATTTGCTTTCTCTTGTATGACAAATAACATCACTTTAAACAAGCAAAACAAAATCAAGAAGGAATTTGGGGAGCATTTATTTTCTGCTTAAGATCGCTTTGATACACAAGACTCATTCTTGAGTGCTGCATGGTTTTAAAACGGTTGAAATCTAAGCATTTGAGAACGATCTGGGAATTTATCACTCCTTAATTTAAACTGACAGTTTTCAAGTCATGCACATTTGGTCTTACCTGGCCCGAGTTCATCCATAGGTATCATATCACCAGTGGCAGATTTCTTGTTGCCTGTAAAGTATTTACACGCTGTTTTCAATTGACTGCCACACGCGACACTTGAGGTTTTGTTAGATGACCCATTTACCAGATTTGCCCTTTTTCACGCTTGAATCGATTTCTCATTCCATCATGCGCATCTTTATTTTGGTCTCAAAACGGAGTAACATAAAGGAGTCGCCCGACAGGAGCAGGGGGTCTTGATGCCCAGCGTCCCATCAGAGAGCACGAGAGGGAACGAGACCCCCCTCCCCCCCTCTGCTCTGCTGTCATTCTCAGGATCCCCTGTCAATAAGATGTTCGGCTAGTGGGCTGCTCCCCCTCTGTGAAGTCCGAGAGGATAACCCAAGTCCCTGACCCCAGCTTTCAGCGTCACAGGAAGACAGCTCTCTTATCACCACAGAGGCGTACATTTCACAGAGAAGGCAATAACGTGACAGTGGTGCCTGTTGGGATAATACCAGCTGAAGACAGACAACACAGCAGTAATATTTTTTGTGGTTAACTCTGACCAGAGAAACAGAATCTCTGATCTGGAAGAACCTGATTTGTCCACATATTGTTCCTTTAGAATCCACATTAAAAATGTGCGCTTGCCTTAGAGCACAACTTTTCTAGAGTGATAAATTGGCTTAATTTCTTGGCATCAGATTTGTGCCAGCTCTATTCACCCTTTCCAGCCTGACCTACAAGAGGGTTTGCTTGCTGTCTGCAGTCTACAGTAGGTAGGTTACAAAAGAGCCCTGTTTCCTTTACTTCAAGACAGAAGAAGAAAAAGGCCTTGGCATGGCTACCTGTTTTTTTTTACAAACCTTGAAACAGTAGTTCAATAATTACACTCAACTGTTTCGCCATTCAAGGTCTTTCGGTGTCTCAGCTCCAGGGATGTGAACTACAGACACAGCTTGGGAGAACCTTGGCTCTGCGCTATGGAGGTCAGAGGGAGATAATGGAAGGCTGTACAGCAGCTCCC